TAAAATTTTCATTCTCGTTCTTCTACTCATTTTCAATCACACATCATTCAATGAAATAATATTTTATATCACATCAATAACTTTTTTTTTTCCAACCACACATTCTCCATCAATCTACTATTTCAAAATACATTCTTCCAAAATAATGTGGCTCAAACAGACTCTTATAGATACTTTTTCAATGTATATCTAAGCATTTTCCCATACATATTTTTGGTCTAAACCTTCGTGAAAATTGATGGTGGTTTCTACATTGGCAAGCAATCATTTCAACAGTACTTAGACAACACCAAGTGCAAACAAACCCGTCCGTATCCAGCTGGAAGGTAACATTTAAATGTTGGAAGTCAAATATCCACAAGGAGGAGGCTCGCCGAATGTTCGGCTCAAGTGTGTATAAGTTGTGTCCGCATCTGGATTAACTCGGGTGCGCGAACTAAGGGGGAAAGCCACCACTCTTCAAGATTAGTTGGGCTAAATTTGGACACCCGAGTCATAAAAAAAAGACAATCATCCCTGTCTCCCCCATTTTTGCAACCATCACTACAATATTTCCACTCCATCAAGGTCAAAGTGTTGGGGCTTAGAATAATTGTATCACATTATCTACTTTTGACCAATGGGAAGTCAACCCAACTTAGTCTTTGTTTGGTCTTTATTTTCTAAAACTCATTTCCAATTACACATTTTCTCATAAAATAATTTTGCACGTGGTTTTGTAAGTTTCTTTACTTTTTAACCACACATTTTTTAATTAAATCACATTTCACAAAATCTATTCTAAAAAAATCTCAACCGAATAGGGGCTTGATATAGTTGTGGATGGAATTTGTAATGTCAAAGTTCAAATGTTGTGGTTATAAAATGATATATGACGATTAAAAAAAGAAAAATGCTATTCATCCCCAGTTTATGTGGATGTAAATGATTGGGTAAATGATAGGTGAAATTAAATGACTTATTTAATTTCACATATCATTTAATACCACATTAACGCCATATAGACTGAGGATGACTATTATTTCTCTTAAAAAAATATGCCAATGAAAGTAAGATACAGCTATCCATTGCCAAAATATAAAGTTCACAATTATACCGTGCGTCTATCACAATGCCAATGAGCGTCAATAAATGAGAACGGGCTCTATAATAACTCCTACGTGGCATGCTGTCTGTTCGTAACCCTCATTGGTTGACTGTGCACGTTGGGAACAAAACAAAATAGAAGATGCGAAAAGAATACGAGATACGAAAGGCGATAGAAACATTAAAGCATGACTTGTCTGGGGTAGCTCATAATTTATACTTATAAGTACAAGATAAGTAATACCCTTGTCATCATTTTAGAGTATCTCCAATAGACTCTCTATTTTTAAATAACATATTCTATCATTTGGAGAATATCTATAAATTTAGAGAGTTAAAATTTTGAAATATTTCAACAAACTTTTTATATTTAACATTTAATTTTATTATTCCCAAAAAATATTTATTATTTTTGTTTATATTTTATTTTAACTAGCTTTTTTAGATTATTTTATTGTTTTACTACATTGAAAATTAAAACACTTTGAATACATTTAATTATAGAGAGTGAGTTTGACTCTCCAAATTTGAAGAATCAAACCCACTCTCTAAATTAAAATGTTAATTTAAAGAGTTTCTTGGAGCATAATTTTAAATGTTGACTCTTTAAAATAGAGATCATCTCATGTTTAAAGAGTCTATTGTAGATGTTCTTAAGGAAATGCTGATTTTATCATTGAAAGAAGTAGTGAATTAATGGAGATGGAATTTGTGGAAAGTTTCCATCGTACTGATTCTAATTGGAACGGTTCTTTCATTTTTTCCTCCAAAATAGTTGTTTGTTGTGTTCATTTGAATTAAATTTGAAGGTACGGTGGAAAATAAGGGTGTGTTTGAGCCCCTTTAATTTTGGAAAATGTATTATGGAATAGTAAATTGATAGAGAATGTGCGGTTAAAAATAAAGGAAAAACTTTTGATTTGCTTGTAATATTATTTTAATGAAAAATGTATAGTTGAAAATGAGTACTACAGAAAAAATAATGTGGTAGAATGTAAAATAATGAATGACAAACAGGGGCTAAATATATTGGAAATTTCATTATGTTTGTTTAAATTTTAGTTTGAATATGTTGACAGGGTATCGATTGATTGTTTTGCAGATGGTCCAAATTCTATTCTTTTCTTTGTTTTTCCTTCAAGAAAGATCCTTTTTTATTTTTTCCTGGGTCAGGCTTTTTTATTTTTAGAATGTTCAAAGGTGGTCGTTTTAAATTCTTTTAGCCCAAGTTTGAGCCCTATTAAAATTTTTATTCTCATTCTTTTACTCTTTTTTAATCACATATTTTTTAATAAAATAATATTTTACATCACGTCAATAACTCTTCCTTCTTTTTCAACCACGCATTCTCCATCAATCTACTATTCCAAAATACATTCTTCCAAAATAATGTGGTTCAAACACATCCTTATAAACATATTTGAATTATTAAGGATCTAGTTATTTTGATTATTAAAATCAACGTAGTAATAATCTGAATAGAGGAATGGAAAATGATTTGTGTAACTGATATTTATTCCACGTTGCTTCAGCTACAAAAGTTGATTAAAATTTAAGTGAAAGTCAACAACTAATTTTAACAACACATTTTATCGATATTTATTAAAATATTCTAAAAATCTGATTTTTAGTTAAATCAAATATGAGCTTAATTTATAGCATTGATACATCACTGCATGTTCCTATGCCCATATCGATCTTGTCTTACCTTGCTAGCTCATCCTTATAATCCGTATCTTGTTCGTTCATATTCCATCTTTTCTCGTATCTCTTTTAACGCAAGAAATTAAAGCTTGGGAAGGGACATCAAAACTTTAGTTCACTCGACGAGTCTCTGTTTTTTTTTGTTGATGTAGGAACTCGCAGTCGCTACCCACCAGCAGAGCCCCGACCACTTCGAAGGGGCAGAGGCCCGACTACTGAGAGTGCGTACTAGGTAAATCCCGTTTCATGTGCAGTAGCCCGCAAACCACACAGGAGAGGCAAGTCGCACTAGGCAAGCCCGGTGCGACGGGCTCGACCGAGAAAATGTTGGAAGGGAATTCAAACTCGTGACCTTTGGTTTCAGTGTTCATCTGCTCTACCAACTTGGCTACCCCCGAAGGGTTCACTCGATGAGTCTATTTGTATTTATGTAGGGGTGTAAATGGTCATGTTTATGGCGACTCCTTCCAATGTGGTGGTGGGCACTGGGCATCGTGGTTTCGTAAGTGGAACCTTGCATGACTTGTGCCACTAGGATTAGCCCGCCATGGGGCCGAGCCGAACGAACCAGACGGCTCGGTCTGTTTTCATACCTCTACCTTCATGGCTGAATGGGTAAAACCCCGTTTGGTATAAGAATGTTCACTGTTTATTTGTTTAAGAATAGATTTACTAATTATTTTTAAAGGAATTCTAGAACCCTGAAAAGTCTCCGTTTGCATGCCAAATATTTCATTATCTTTTACTTAAATCATATTCAACTTTGTCACACGGTTCCACTTGGTGCCGGCTAGTGCTTATAATTAGTTTGTTTATTCTACAATTAAATATTGCTATTTAATTTATATTTTAGTGAGTTTGGTAAAATCAATACTTGTAAAAAACCCACAGAATTTTGTTTTGTCATTATCTTAAGGTCTTCGTATTTGAACGGTACTAGATATCTTAATGTCAAAAAAATAATAGTTAAGTTTACTTTGTTATTGATTAACATATGATTAAACGAATTACTATGATGATGCAAAATAAGAAAAAAGAAAGTAAGAAAATCACACGATTTAAGAGAGTTTACTTCTAATGCGAGAATTGCATCATAAAGTGGCGTCGTAGAATTATAATATATTAAATAAGAGAGTTACAATTTATTTTGGACGCACATCTCTCCTTCTCTCTCTACAACGTGACATGAAATGGAGGCTCGTCTGAATACCTTTTATGCATGAGGAAAATATTAGGGCGATCAAATATATGTGCTACGGAAATATTTTCTCTCCACTATAGCACTTCAAACTTTTTTTGGTGCGGAAAAAATTGCATTAGGCTTCACACATTCAAGATAATAACTAAAGAGTGAATAAATAAGTGGAGAATAATTATGAATGTGCAGTTGAAATTAATATTTGACTTTGATTCAAAATTATAATTTACTTTTTAGGTAAAACGAAATGAGGCTAAATGAGACAAACATGCATATAATTAAGGGCATGTTTGACACCCGTTAATTTAATTTATGGTTTGCGACATAATCATTTTCAATCACACATTTATATAATAAAATATTCTATACGTATACCAAAAACCTTTTTCTACTTTTTAACTATACATTCTTCTAAAAATTACTATTCAAAACTCATTTTTCTACAATAATGATTATGAAACAGGCTCTAGGAGTTATGATAAATTACTTATGATTATACGAAAATAGGATGACCCCATCAAGAAAATACCATGGACAAAATTCAGTTAGGGAAAATTAAAAAAATCAACACTAAAGCCCAAAATACATTCAAGAAAAGAACAATTCAAATTCAATCAACTTTAAAATAAAAATACTATACTATTAACAACCAATTACAAAATGGCACTCCAACTCCCTCAGATAATGATACATCCCAAAATTTATCTCATGTCAACATTGGTGGGCTTGGGAGGGGTGACCTCACACAAGTTCAAGAAAATCAAAACAATTTAATGACTGGTCACATTAAAAACTATGCGAGTCGTCGAATTTAAGATTTGGTTTCAATCTAATCACACATCCTTTTTGGTTTCAAAATAGTCACTCAATTTCATGTTTTGTTTCAAAAGGTTTTTGGATGAAGCGACTAGGTATAAAATGGGCAACCATTTTAGGTAAAACGAAAGATGAGTGACGAAATTGAAACCAAACCTTAAATTCAACGGCTAACACTGTTTTCAAAACCAATCATCTACTTCCAAGGTCGGATAGACAAAACGATAATGAGAATAATAATCAACAACAAAATAATCGCGAAACAAGTCCATTTCCTTGTATTCTTCTGGTGTTTCCTGGCCACTTGCAGTTGATGAGTCCCTCCTCTAACAAAAGAATTTGCCCTTCCAACTTGACTTTCAATATCATCCAATTGTTCCCCTTGGGTCTCCACAAGAACAGCCATGTCCATGAAAACTTGGTGCAATTCCTTGAGATTCTTTTCCATTTCTCTTACAGCATCATGTCTTTCTTGGATTTCCATAATGGTGTCCATAACCTGTCCTCTTCCTTGCTCTTGTATGGCCTTCTGCAAAAATGTCTCGCTCTCGCCCGTCTCGATTAAGTTATCTAGAATTTTCTCTTCGGGGTTCTCTCCTGTCACCGTGTAGTACCTGGGGAAGATAATTTAAGTGACACGAGAAGTTTTACACTTCTAGACGAGATAATTCAATAGGTTATTAGAGCATACAGAATTCAAGCTTTAGATGAGTTAGTTCAACTATACCTTCTTTGCACCGTCTCCCGGTACTCAGAAGCTATTCGTTCCCTCAAATCGTTGAACCTGTTCATTATATCCTGCAGTTTTTTCCTCAGGCCATTGACAACAGAAGTCCTTGTCCTGTCTGAAGAACTTCCAGGGCCACAACCCGGAATTCTCCTGTTATCATCATTGGCCTTGTCCAGTGCCTGCAATCCTACCTTAATCGCTTTTGCTTTTTTTAATGATGTCGAAACGTCACTATCCATTTTTGCACGAAGATTCTTAACTGCTTTGGCATTGTGTAGTGTTTTGCTTTGCTCGTGCGCCGCCTGGAGCTGGCCGTAGAGCGTTTCCAGGGCGTCAAGCTCGACTTTTATAGAATCCACGTCTTTGAAAAACTTGTCGAGATCACCTCCGCCTAAGTCAGTCATCTGAATAGAGTGGGACTGATCTTGGCCACCGGAAAATGATGAAGATGATAAGAGATCATTCATTTTTGAGATAATTCGTGATGCAATATCGAATAGATTGAACGATATACAGAAGACGAATTTAACTTCTTTTCTTTGATCGAGCAAGCACAATTCTCCTTATCAAACAAGCTATATATGAACTGAGGAGCTCTAGAAAAAGTTGTGGGACTTATGCTATGATTTGAGAGGAAAAGATGAAAAATGAAATGGGAAGTTGAAATTGCAAATGGGATGAGGTTTTATTTATTGTAGCGATGATGGAAAGGAATTAATTATTGTGTAATGAAAGACTTGTCAAAAGAGTCGCCTACTGAATTCAACAGATGCAACCATTCTCGTTCAACAAATATTTACGTGCACTTTTACTTATGCAGATGCAAAACGCGTTTGAGGAAAAACTTTTCCTTCTTACGTAACATTTGGCCTTTCTTGGTAACGATTAAAATCAGATTTGTAATAAATTTTAAGAGTAGTTAATGAAATGTGTGATAGAAAAGTTTTGGAATTTATAAAATATGTGAGTAAAATTAATTGTTAACTTTAACTTATATTAAAATTAAAATTTTAATCGATACCAAACATGGGCTTACTCTGTTTCTATATAAATTTAGTTAAAGTCAAATATTAATTTTAGTTATACGTCCCTAGGTAGTATTCATTAATTCACATATTAGATGGATTCACTATTACTCTTTCTTATAAATTAATTCATAAAATTTGTCAAATAAAGGCTTAACGTGCTTAAACTTACTTTTAAATTATTATATTAAACTTTTATTAGCTAAAAATCAGATTTTTATTGAATTTTAATAAAAATTGATGAAATGTTTAGTTAAAATTTGATAAAAGTTATGAATTCCATAAAATATATGATTAAAATAAATTGTGAATTTTAACATAAAATTTTATCAAAATTTAAGCCACAACAAATAGGAATTAAGTACGATTTTATAGCTACCTAAACTTTTATTTTCTAATAAAAGGTAAGTTTGAACTTGCTTAAAAAATTTAACCTTTATGCAAAACCGACCTTGATATAACAAGAGTTTCAATTTTTTATTTTTTGTAGATGTGTAGTAGTAAAATTCTTCATGAAAGATTGGTGCTTCCAATAACTTCGCGATGCTTAAGTTAGCAAAAACAAGTACATGCAAACTATCATATTTATTAGTCTCGACCCGAACAAGGTATTGGATCACGAGTTACTAATCGAATCGGTGGGTCAGTGATCAAATCGGTGAATCATTGCATAATTTTTTTTTAAAAAATATATAAAGGTAAAATTGCAGTTTTTAAGTTATTTTTCACTAATTATTTATGACTGTAAAATAAAGTAAAATGCTGGATCAAACTTCTAATTTTTTTTTAGAAAACCTATAAATGATTCATCAGATATATATAAGTTATTGCACATAATTAATATTAAAGTACTTTGTGTTCAAGTGATGATGAACTCATTATTTTCCGTAAAGGTTTGAGGTTCATTTCTATCAAATTAATCTGACCGGCTTGACAAAGGGCGGTCGCCGATTTTCAGGCCTGACTGGCCGGGCAAACTATAATAAAAACAAGCTTACCTTTTTCCATCTATATGGAATTTTAGTGTAAAAATGTGTCTATTTTGGGGTGGGGAGATAGTACAAGTGACTGTAGAGGATTTCTTGATTTCATGAATGATTAGGAATTTGGGATGTTGTAATTGATATACTGATTCACGAATCTGTCAAGTCTTTCTCTAGAGGAATTTAGATAGAGGTATGAACGATGATCTTGATCATCATATACGTCTTCGAAGTTGCTCGTACTTTAGTTGGGTTTGGTGACAAGCCATACGCCATAAACAATTTCTAATAATGCTTATATCATTTTTTATACACGTTAAGGTGAAATTCATGTACTCGACTCTATTCAAAGACTGGGAATTATTATAGAAAATTTTCTTTCATTATTTTCTTGACATTACTCAAGAATATTTTACTTTCTTTAGTGTGATTAAAAAATACGTTATTTTTATTTTTTGTATAAAATTACTGAGTACAAGGTGCCATCGAAAAGAGTTGGGGATGAAGATGGCAGTGACATATTTAGGATTGTTTTATATTTTTATTATAATTAAGTGTTTGTTCGATTATCATTTTTGTACGCGCAAGTCACACTACTTTTTAACATCTAATAAAGACTTACACGGTATAAAATGAAATCTTAAGGATGCAATTGCTATAAATTAAAGTTTGAGCACGTACTTGCTCTATTTTAAATAGTTCTGGGAGCCACCGTAGTTTCTCATATAGAAATTGAGGGAAAGCGAGACGCGCACAGTTTTTCTTTCTCGCTCGCTCAAACACAGCCATGGCGAGCACACGAATGATAGGCAAGCACTTTCACATCATTTTTCAGTTTCCATTGATTATAAAATAAACACTGATATCTTTTTCTTTATTTTTATTTTGTCATATTTTAACTCAAGAACAGATATGGCGGTTAATTTCACAGGTAAGTAGCAATCGCGTTATAATTTCATTTTTTCTGATTTCTGTTTTCTTGATGCCGATAAATAAATGCATATAGTATGTTTAGAGGAATATACGATGGGAAGCAATATCATGTAGCTGATATTCCAGCAGTACTTAGCGGGGCTTGGAGTGCTGGCATCGATCGAATTATCGTTAATATTTTTCTCTGTAGCCTTTTCAGCTAGAAATTCGTTACTTATTTGTGTTTTTAAAAAGACTTCGGTAAAGTGAGGGAGTGGTGGACTGAAATTAACTTGGGCTGCGTCTAGGAAAGAACAGAAGGGAATTGCCAATAAGGATTCATGTATCTGATTTCAAATTTATTGGGAATAGAAATTAGTTTGATTTCTTTATTGTTGATTATTATGTTGTTTTATGCAACACATTTGATATTCCTATGTATTGTTATTTCTTTTCTTTGTAAAAAAAAGTTATTTTTGAATTTTAAACCCATTTTTCAAAATAGAAGTAAAGGATAAGAAATGACAAAACACTTTTATTTTGTGGGAATTCTGTATAACCAATGATGAAGTACAAATCTTAATTAAATGATTTATCCTGAAGGAACGTTGCCTGTTTAACATGTAGAGTATCAGATGAATCAATCTGGAGTTGAGAAAGTTGGATTTTGATGTATTAAAGTCATGAGATGATAAAAATTATTGCTTCATTTTGATCTTTATTATTTCTGATGCTGTTTAGGAAATTGGGAAGTGAAACAAATTTGAAAACTTTTTTTTTTTGGCCTCTTCTGAAGCTGCACGGGTTAATTTTATTCTGTGTTGAAGCTCAGCAAGCAGTTTTGGTCTTTGTTCTTTTTGATAATTAACCTGATCTGGTAATGATAAAATATGAAAATTAAGTTGTAATCCGGAACTTAAGCTTATAATAAGTGGCCTTCATATTATCTTCATCTGGGCTCTCTCTAAAAATTTGTAATTTGGATCAAGTTCATTGTTCCAGGTGACCGGTGGCTCCCTTGAGGAGTCAAAGGAAGCTCTTGCTATCGCGGAAACTGATGGTCTGTCCACATATACCATTTTCCCTATATATTTAACTTTACCTTCTGTTTTTTGTTCTCAACTTATTTCCTCAACCCATTGTCCTGTAGTTTCTAATCTTGAAATTTGATTGATTATGGCAGCAAGACTTTTCTGCACAGTTGGTGTACACCCTACAAGATGCAAAGTGAGAATCTTGATAAAAATATTATATGTTCATTCATTGCCAACCCAAGTTTTTCTATATGCGTGACCCTTAGATACTTAGGCTGGAGGTGTTGTGATGTTCAATCTTGTGCTCCTTATCAGGAATTTTATGACAGTGGTGACCCAGAGAAACATTTTCAGGCTCGTGTCATTGGCTAGAGAGGGAGTTGAGAAAGGCAAGGTATGCTTTATTCTATAAGCAAGCATGTTTTAGTTAGTATCCTATTTAGAAGTATCGTGTCACCCTGAAGTAACATGCATTATGCATATCTTGCAAATGGCATGAAAATAGTTTGCTTAGCACTTTGTCAAATATGTAGAGTTAAGATGTAACTTTTACTCTTCCTCGCAGAATTTATGCCCAAATTAACCATGAATCCCATTAATTCAGATCCCCATGCATTATTTCTATGCTCGTGCACACACACACACATCTTCATGTTTGTGCACAGGTGTGCTTTTGTATGAGAGCTTGAAACCACAAAGGAGCATATGAAACTGAATTTTAATGATCTATCTTGAACAAGATTCATATTGCCTGGATATGAGGCACATGTTCTCATCCCATATTTTTCTTGGAGATACTTTGTGGATATAAACTGTGTTCTATCATCAGTTGATAACTTTATGCCAGAGCATTCTTCTTGGTACACAATTCAAAGCTCCTATTATGTTGGTTTGGGTTTTATTGTCTATTTTTTAATGCCAAACATCATTTCAAGCAAGGTGGTAGCAATTGGTGAATACGGATTGGATTATGACAAGCTTCACTTATGCCCAGCTGAGATTCAAAAGAAGTATGTGCTTGATCCCAGTATCTTTCTGTTTTTCCTTTCTCCTACTTTTAATTTGCATCTATTTCCTTGATACATATTAATTCATGTAATTACAACTAGTATACATCGACTTCAGAGTTAATTGAAACATCATAAAATATATTTTGAATTCAAATTACAATTTGGTTTTATAGCTAGAATCGAGAACCAAATTAGAACCGTTTAGTTCTCAATTTTAATAACCAAAACTAGTTAATTTTTTGTGAAATCAAACTGCTTAGTTCAATTTCAGTTTGGTTAGAGTAATTTCGAGAAGAACAAAACATATATACCCCTAAATTCAACCCGCGTTCTTTTTAAACTGCCTTTAATTTTCTTCAACCAAATCATGAAAATTGAAGGTAAAATTGTATGATTAACAAATCTTATAAAGGCAGAATTATACGATTAACTACCTTCCTTTCATCATAAATCTTGATAAATTATGACTACCTCTTTTAAATTTATCACCAACTTTTATTACAAATTGTCTCAAGCCCTAAATGAAAGGTAATATACTCACTAAACAAATCAATTCTAGTTTCATTGACTATAAAACTTAAGTTCGTTTTCATAGTTGTTTCATGATTCAAAGCCAAAGGTCTATCAATCATAATTTTTCTATTTTAGGTTGCGCTCAAACTTCTAATGTGTTAAATTTTCTAATATCGACACGTTTTAGAAACCAAAATTCTTCAAAATATTTGAAATATCTCTCTCTCTCTCTCTTAAATAGAANCCCCCCCCCCCCCCCCCCCCCCTCCCTCCCTCCCTCTCCATAGAGTATGAAAACTTTAAGTATATCTTTTGGAAAGTAACTATACATATTGAATTTTGTTTATTAAGAATTGCACATTATTATAGTCTTTGTTGTAAGTGTAACTCAATTGCGGGTTTTTACTAAATAATTACCTTAATTGAAGGCTCGAATCCGTGTACTGAAAATATTAGTAGAGATGTATCATCGATTAGGTGGTAATGAGCCATTTATTTCATTGTCCAATACATTAAAGTACATTACAACTCCATTGAACAATAAATCAGATGACTCATTGTCACCTTATTTAATGAAATATATTATTATTGAGAAATACACAAGAGATTTAGAGTTTGAATTCAAGTTAAATAACTTTTTAGAACATTGAATTTATAAAAATAATAATAATCTATAATACTACAATAAACTTAGCCCCTGTTTGATGACCATTATTATGAAGATATGATATTTTGATATTGATTTTTGGAGAACATGTAGTTAAAAACTATGAATTGTTTTTTGAGTTTAAGTACAAAATATTTTATTATATGAATGTGTTGTTGAAAATGAGTATGAAAATTTAAAGAATTTTTTTTTTAATGAAAAACAAACGGGGCTTAGTATCTACTTTTTCTCAAAAATAGTATTTTCACTTGTCGTATCACATGCCACTTTCCTCCGATTTTTTTTTTTTTTTGGGTCTGTGTGTGCATAAATGGTCATACGATACATATAAATTTCATACAATACATATAAATTCTTATAGATGCATAACCGACAATACAATACATATAATACACAGTATCCCCAAATATGGATTTCCAATTACACCACAAACTAGAATTCTTGATTTTCCTTACCTTATTCAGACAACAAAACACACACACACACACACACGATCTTTATTAGTTTTTATTACATGCAGTGCCATCTCGAGCATGGATGTTTGACGGATCGTCTCTTTAGGTTCTTTTCTTGACAACACGTAGAGATATGCTGTCGAAAATAACACACACACACCCCACTGATCGATACAAATTTCCACTTCAGGAACTGCCTTCTCTGAAGCATGGATGTTTGGCAGTGGTATGGCTGGCTTTTTAAGGCTTTTATCGGGGCAACCTGAAAAAACCGCTTTTAAGCATGACTGTCAGACATATTTAACATATTTTTCATTATAAAATAAATAGCCAAGGATGAATTGCCCAGTGCAACGAAAATCATTTGGTTGCAAGGTGGGGCGGGGTGCCAAAAACAGGACTTTCCCCCACCACACCCAACCCCTCCACATCTTCAAACCTTATAGTTGCAGCAGTTATCTGCTGCAGCAATCCAATCACCAACCATGGAAATCCCACGGCCAGGATTTGCCACATGATCAGCGAGGGGCTGGAAGAAAGGGTTCAGATCAAAGGAATGGAGACCAATCCTGCTAATGCCGGAGGATACCCGGCTAGTCTCCTCTGAAGAACCTGGACTGTTTCCATTTGAGCCCCAATTTTCTCCTCCAGATTGCAGTATTTCAGAAATTTGGGGTTCTGTGGGCTGCTCATAAAATAATACCATTTCTTGATTATTCATTTTGGTTTCCCTCTTGTCCTTGCCTCTATTGGAGTTCCTGGTGTTGAGAAAGCGGCCGCCACTGCCTCTTGGGCGGCGCATGGCGTGGAGATGCCGGGACAGGTGCTGATATGGCTGAAAATACAAAAAAGATAGAGAAAAATTTATACGACTTGTGGCTTGTCTAATTCTAACTTTGTCATGTGACAATTTAACAAAAAAAATTGACTGTTTCATGCTTAGAGACTGTTATTGTAATTATAATGAAAGGTTAAGTTACTCCTTTTTAAAGTCCAATTCGTTCTTTAATATTTTGAGTTTTAACTTTTGAATGAGACGTGAACTAGTTTCACCTTTCGGAGTTTTATCACTTTATTTTGCAGCTCATGAGCCTTTGCACGCAACTGTCTGCGCCTTAAAATTCTGTGGTACTGCTTGGCATTTACAAATATTGGCTCTCCATTATCATTGCTCAGATTCAATGGTAACATCAGGCGCCCCTAAAAATCGTTGACAAATGAATTAGTTATATGAATTATTTTTCGTCACTTCATACAATGCACAACTACTATACACATTAGGCGCGCTTTTCTAACATGGTCTATTTAAAATCGCAATGCACTTATCAAAGAAGCTTCTCCGTGCCCATGACAAGACATTGACGGATATATCAATCCTAAAACAGTAGAAGGAAGTTAGGAAGAATACGAACCGCAACTTGAGGACTATGAGTTGTTGAGTATACCTCATAGCACTGCTCTGCATGAGGATACTTAGCACAAACCTAAGCCATTACAAAGACAATAATGGAAACAGATAGCATCTAGTTATACATGTGTACACAAATATACATAATACACACACACACACATGGGTATGTGTGTGTAAATCAAACAGCCAAGAAAGTTTACCAGTGGTTGACCAAGCTCTAAATGGGCCGCATCTTCCATAGCAGTCTGGAGTAGAGTTTTTGCTACATTTGCACCATTTTTGTAATCATCTAAATGAGATAAATATTTGTATAGTTAGTGGGTGTTTAACTGCATTAACTATACACCCCCCCATCTAGAAATTTCCAGCCGTCATCTTAAACAACTCGGCTACATATATAGAAATTTTGTACAAATAGGTTGACAGATGCATGCATGTACAGAATCATCTGTACAAGTAGGTTAATTGCATCTTAAAAGCACATCTAAACACATAAAGAGTGTCCTCTATCACATAATAGTGTAGGTTGTCAGGCAACTAAAACAAAAAATGAAAAGCGATATGACGTGAAAATACTAGTTTTGAAGAAAAAGTAGGATACCTAACATTGTGAAAATGTGGTACAAGAAAACGTTGTTTTTTCTCTTAAATTAAGTATTGAACTTTTAAAACGCAAGTTAATATTAATTCAAAGTCTAATCCCTTGATAATTTATGCAAGTATAAGAACTAAAGCATGAAATTATGTCCAATTGTATTTGAAGCTCAAACCTAAGTCAACTCTTAGTCAACTTTAACATATAGGTGACTAGGTTCTTTTCCATTAAATTTACATATGAAAAAGATTTCATATAATTCACCTTAAATTTAGTTGACTTGTTCCATTACTTTTATTGTGGCAGACAAAGTTAAGACTAGGATGTATAATACTTGAAGATTTCATAAAATAAAAATTGCAGCGGAGGTCTCTAATCTATTCATGATTTAGTAAGTTCGTCACCTATCTATTTTTTTGGTAGATTGGTCCCTCACGATTCATGTTTAGGGACATTGTCTCTAGCGAACAGAAGGTGTGTAGTTTCATAGTCAAAAAGTTCAATTTTGGCGGACAAGACAACGATACCCTTATATTTGTTTAATACGAAAACAAAATGAAAAAGAAATCGTCCATGTCCCTGCCCTGCCCCCACCCTCTCCATCCTCCATTACCATGTTATGCAGGCTTGAGCCAATGGCAAATGGAGGGCTGGGGAGGAGAGGGAAGACAAATTGGGGGCTTCGTAAGAAAAGGGCATATCGATTTGGAAGGTAGGGAGAGGAGGTCGGACAGGATTAGAGTTAAAGGGACGCATATTGGGTGTGCGGTTGGGTTGGTGGGTGCGGGAGTTGGTATAGGAATCCAGAATCAGTGGAGAAAAAAAAATTAAAAATTCATGTAATCGATATTAAATTTGTTAAAGGTAGAACATTGACTTTTTTTGTGTTGCATTTCTATTTAAGCCCCCGTTTGGCACCCCTGTTTTTCTCATTCTCATTTTTTTTCTTTTTCTTTATTTTAACAACACATTCTATCAATAAAATAATATTACACATAAACTTAAAAAATTTTCTTACTTTTTAACTACACATTCTTCCATCAATCACTATTCAAAAACATATTTTTCTACTAAAATGGGTGTCAAACACCTAATTGTTGTTGGACTTGTTCCATCACTATTATTATAGCAAACAAAGTTAAAAACCTTGTTTAAATGTTTATAAATGTTATATTAGTTTGAATGGTATTTAGGATAAGTATTAATAAGTCTGTAAATTATCCTACAAACATTGAAGATTAGGATTCATCATATGTAAGCAGTGTTCTAAAAGGCGGCAAAATGCGCTGTCTAGACGCGGCCAAAAAGCGTGGAATTCAGGAAATGCGCGAAAAATGCATTTTCCATCTAAAAGGCGGGAATAATGCGCGCCTATGTGCCCCTAATGCACGCTTAGGTGTGCATTATCTCGCCTAATCTTTTTTTTTTTAAATCTATTTTTTTTATGATATATTAAAAAATATTTTTTTTATATAAAA